TTAGTCAGAATAAAGATCAAGCAAACGCTTAAAGGGAAAGTTTGGACTAACAAATGGTATAGATAATTTCTTTCTCCTAATGCAAATGCTGATTTGGGGAAACTTTCAATCAAACTGATTGTTTTAAAACAATCAAAGTGCATTTCATTTATGCACTAGGCCCAACTGACTCATATACTTGATTTCAAATACAAAAAATAATGTGTGACCTGTTGGAAGAATGAAGTGGATTTTTCACTCACTTCTTGGTCGGTAGGAGTTTGGGACATGGTCTCAACACTTGGTGTCTGAAACAAAAGACAACAATGTAAATCCTGACTAGTTCATAAACTATAGATCATACTTGTTTCAGTGAATATAATTCACAGAAGAATCTGAGTTCCTCATATCAGACTGTATAGAAACTATTAACACTGTACAGTTCTGCTACCCAACAATATGAGGACAGTGTAACACACACACTACAGTTGTTGGTCCAACCATATGAGGACGTATTCTGAAACACACATCTCCTTCACAGCTTGAAACAATATGAGGACATGACGACTGAACACATGTAGAGTTCATGTTCCTGACTTCTAGCTTCTCCTGTTGTTGTCAATAAAAGCTCTAAACCCAACACTGATGTAAAGCCATCTATTTCCCCAGAAATCCAATCATATTAACTGATCAGCTTCAGGTTAAATGGACAAAAACATGTGTAAAAGGACAAAAATATTAAACTTAGTCAGAACAAATATCAAGCAAATGCTTAAAGGGAAAGTTTGGACTAACAAATGGTATAGACAATTTCTTTCTCCTAATGCTAATGTTGATTTGGGGAAACTTTCACTCAAACTGATTGTTTTAAAACAATCAAAGTGCATTTCATTTATGCACTAGGCCCAACTGACTCATATTCTTGATTTCAAATACAAAAAATAATGTGTGACCTGTTGGAAGAATGAAGTGAATTTTCACTCACTTCTTGGTCTGTAGGAGGTTTGGACATGGTCTCAACACTTGGCGTCTGAAACAAAAAACAACAATATAATGTCAAACATTCTGTTCTATAAATCCTGACTAGTTCATTAACTACAGATCATACTTGTTTCATTGAATATTATTCACAGAAGAATCTGAGTTCCTTATATCAGACTGTATAGAAACTATTAACACTGTACAGTTCTGCTACCCAACAATATGAGGACAGTGTAACACACACACTACAGTTGTTGGTCCAACCATATGAGGACCTATTCTGAAACACACATCTCCTTCACAGCTTGAAACAATATGAGGACATGACGACTGAACACATGTAGAGTTCATGTTCCTGACTTCTAGCTTCTCCTGCTGTTGTCAATAAAAGCTCTAAACCCAACAATGACGTAAAGCCATCTATTTCCCCAGAAATCCAATCATATTAACTGATCAGCTTCAGGTTAATTGGACAAAAACATGTGTAAAAGGACAAAAATATTAAATTTAGTTAGAATAAAGATCAAGCAAATGCTTAAAGGGAAAGTTTGTACTAACAAATGGTATAGACAATTTCTTTCTCATAATGCTAATGTTGATTTGGGGAAGCTTTCACTCAAACTGATTGTTTTAACACAATCAAAGTGCATTTCATTTATGCACTAGGCCCAACTGACTCATATACTTGATTTCAAATACAAAAAATAATGTGTGACCTGTTGGAAGAATGAAGTGAATTTTTCACTCACTTCTTGGTCTGTAGGAGGTTGGGACATGGTCTCAACACTTGGTGTCTGAAACAAAAGACAAGAATGTAAATCCTGACTAGTTCATTAGCTACAGATCATTCTTGTTTCAGTGAATATTATTCACAGAAGAATCTGAGTTCCTTATATCAGACTGTATAGAAACTATTAACACTGTACAGTTCTGCTACCCAAAAATATGAGGACAGTGTAACACACACACTACAGTTGTTGGTCCAACCATATGAGGACGTATTCTGAAACACACACATCTCCTGCACAGCTTGAAACAATATGAGGACATGATGACTGAACACATGTAAAGTTCATGTTCCTGACTTCTAACATCTGCTGTTGTCACTAAAAGCTCTAAACCCAACAGTGATGTAAAGCCATCTATTTCCCCAGAAATCCAAACATATTAACTGATGAGCTTCAGGTTAAATGGACAAAAACATGTGTAAAAGGGCAAAAAAAAATAAATTTAGACACAATAAAGATCAAGCAAATGCTTAAAGGGGAAGTTTGGACTAACAAATGGTATAGACAATTTCTTTCTCTTAATGCTTTTGTTGATTTGGGGAAACTTTCACTCAACCTGATTGTTTTAATACAATCAAAGTGCATTTCATTCATGCACTAGGCCCAACTGACTGATATACTTGATTCCAAATACAAAAAATAATGTGTGACCTGTTGGAAGAATGAAGATCTATTGAGTTTTAAGTGATCTGAACGTTTCATGATGATAGCCCCAAGCACAATTTCACATTATTCTGGGTCCAGTTCACTGAAAAAATCTTCAATCAGGCTGAAAAATCACAGGAAAGTAGAATCTATTGAGTTATAAGTGATTCCAACGTTTCATGATGATAGCTCAGTCCTAATGGGGTCAAATGATGTCACAAAGGTCACCGGATCACTTCTGCCTTAAAGGCCTGCTTACAAAAACAGCTTTGGGGGCTTATAACTTGGCTTCTGAATGTCCTAGAGAGGTCAGCTTGGTTTTAAATTACTCCAATTAACAGCCCCTATTAGCTCTTATGGTTTTATAATGGGACACAGAATTATGTTGCACCAAGCACAATTTCACATATTTCTGGTTGCATATCTGTTATACAAGCTCCAATCTGTCTGAAATTAACATATGTTGGACATGTGAGGTCAAGGAGCACACAGTATCAGTTGCAAGTCTGTAGGTTGAAGAGAACCCTGTTTTTCAGCTGAAATCCATCATTTTTTCTGACCTCTAACCCAGAACAGCACCAGAACAATGAGCTACGGCTACCAAACTGCCTGGGCTAGCTCGGGGTGATGGCGGCATGCCAAATCGACGTTTGTTTGGTGAAAATCGGTTGAGAAATGCCACTTTGCCGAGCACATGGCAAAAAAGGCGGGAAAAGTGCCATCCGGCCCCAAACGGACGCTTAACACAAAGCGACCGACACAAATTTGAAATCTATGGTTCAGACCAGCACTGGGGTAAAACAAAAAAATTTTCGTGAGCCTCGGATCAACGATGGCCGAACGGCGGCCAAAAAGGGGCTCAAATCTTGGCCAGGCTTCATTTGGGGCCTAGGGTTTTGTCCGTTGCTTTTAATTAATTAAAAATAGTTAAATTCTACGTAGGGACATGAAATTCACATATGTTGTAAAGAAGGACATGCCGAATCATAATTTATAAGCTGCGTCACGCTACGTCGCTCACTGACCGAGTTCGGCCACTAGGGGGCGCAGTCAAAAAAAAATTTCACTCTCTGGTTCGGAAGTCCGGTACGAGAGCAAAAATCTACTCGCCTTTTTGATAGCCCTCACGGCGCTAGAATTTCGCCATTGCAAACTTGCAAAAATCGCGGGCTTTGGGGGGCTATATCTCCGGAACCACAAAATATTTTGCCACCAAACCACCTCGGGTGGACTAGTGCTTGGCCCCCGAACCACATATCCGAAGATGGTGCCGCTGGCACCAGCAGAACTTTTTTTTTCCACTTTGTAACAGCAAAACACAAGTCCTCTTTGAGGCGTTACGTCTCAGAGGACATTTTTTGGCCTAACTCGGAAGCAACTTTTTTTTCTTTTCAATTATGACAGCGGATTATGATTGCTTGGCACCACGGGGACCACCTCTCCAAAAACGGGACGGATCGGGCGTTCGCTTGAGGAGCTGTGGCCAAAAAAGAGCGTGACCTCTGGCGACCTAGGGTTCAGAAAAGCACCGGAACAACGAGCTACGGCTACCAAGCTGCCTGGGCTAGCTCGGGGTGACGGCGGCATGCCAAATCAATGTTTGTTTTTTTTAAATCGGTTGAGAAATGCCACTTTGCCGAGCACATGGCAAAAAAGGAGGGAAAACTGCCGTCCGGCCCCAAACGGACGCTTTACACGATGCGACCGGCACAAATTCAAAATCTGTGGTTCGGGCCAGTGGTGGGATGCACCATAAGAATTTTCGGGCGCCTCGGACCAACGTGGGCTGAACGGCGGACGAAAAGGGTCTCAAGTGGCAGAAGGCCGCAAACAAAGCCTGAGCTAAATTTTAACACTTTCGGGCCGCCGTTTGAATTCAGTCAGGCGTAGCCGCACGAAATTTTTTGTGGTGCATCCCGGCTACCATCTCATCGACGCACGTCGAAATTGCGGCCGTCGGACCTTTTCGAGGGCCCTTTCGGGACGTGTGTCCAAGTAGATATAGTCAGGTAGTGTCCGGTTACACCTTTGTGGGCTTATAACTTGGCTTCAGACTATCCTAGAGAGGTCAGGTTGATTTTAAAATACTCCAATTAATGGTCTATATCTGGAACAGAAGGAATGGAGTCATTACCACTTATGGGTTTTAAATGGCACCAAGAATTATGTCGCACAAAGCACAATTTCACATATTTCTGGGTCCAGTTCTCTGAAAAAAGCTTCAATCAGGCTGAAACATCACAGAAAGGTAGAATCTATTGAGTTATAAGTGATTCCAACGGTTCATGATGATAGCTCATTCCTAATGGGGTCAAATGATGTCACAAAGGTCATCGGATCACTTGTTCTTTAAAGGCGTGGTTCCTAACACACATTTTCGGGCTTATAACTTTTCTTCTGAATGTCCTAGAGAGCTCAGATCTGGTTTTTAAATGGCACCCAGAATTATGTCGCACAAAGCCCAATTTCACATATTTCTGGGTCAATTTGTGTGAAAACAAGGTCCAATCAGACTGAAACATCACGTGAAAGTATAATCTATGGAGTTGTAAGTGATCTGAACGTTTCATGATGATAGCACATTCCTAAGGGGGTCAAACCATGTCAGTCACCAGGCGTGGTGTCACTTGAAGGCCGGTTTCCAAAAACAGCTTTGGTGGCTCATAACTTTTCTTCCGATTTTTCACTCACTTCTTGGTCTGTAGGAGTTTGGGACATGGTCTCAACACTTGGTGTCTGCAACAAAAGACAACAATATAATGTCAGAAACATTCTGTACTATGAATCCTGACTAGTTCATTAACTACAGATCATTCTTGTTTCAGTGAATATTATTCACAGAAGAATCTGAGTTCCTTATATCAGACTGTATAGAAACTATTAACACTGTACAGTTCTGCTACCCAACAATATGAGGACAGTGTAACACACACACTACAGTTGTTGGTCCAACCATATGAGGACGTATTCTGAAACACACACATCTCCTTCACAGCTTGAATCAATATGAGGACATGACGACTGAACACATGTAGTGTTCATGTTCCTGACTTCTAGCTTCTCCTGCTGTTGTCAATAAACGCTCTAAACCGAACACTGATGTAAAGCCATCTATTTCCCCAGAAATCCAATCATATTAACTGAATAGCTTCAGGTTAAATGGACAAAAATGTGTAAAAGGGCAACAATATTAAATTTAGTCAGAATAAAGATCAAGCAAATGCTTAAAGGGAAAGCTTGGACTAACAAATGGTATAGACAATTTCTTTCTCCTAATGCAAATGTTGATTTGGGGAAACTTTCACTCAAACTGATTGTTTTAAAACAATCAAAGTGCATTTCATTTATGCACTAGGCCCAACTGACTCATATACTTGATTTCAAATACAAAAAATAATGTGTGACCTGTTGGAAGAATGAAATGAATTTTTCACTCACTTCTTGGTCTGTAGGAGGTTGGGACATGGTCTCAACACTTGGCGTCTGAAACAAAAGACAACAATATAATGTCAAACATTCTGTACTATGAATCCTGACTAGTTAATTATCTACAGATCATACTTGTTTCAGTGAATCTTATTCACAGAAGAATCTGAGTTCCTTATATCAGACTGTATAGAAACTATTAACACTGTACAGTTCTGCTACCCAACAATATGAGGACAGTGTAACACACACACTACAGTTGTTGGTCCAACCATATGAGAACGTATTCTGAAACACACACATCTCCTTCACAGCTTGAAACAATATGAGGACATGATGACTGAACACATGTAGAGTTCATGTTCCTGACTTCTAGCTTCTCCTGCTGTTGTCAATAAAAGTTCTAAACCCAACACTGATGTAAAGCCATCTATTTCCCCAGAAATCCAATCATGTAAACTGATCAGCTTCAGGTTAAATGGACAAAAACATGTGTAAAAGGACAAAAATGTCAAATTTTGTTAATAAAAGCTCTAAACCCAGCACTGATCTACTCTGGTCTTCATAACTAGAATAACATCTATGTTTTCATCTACTTATATTTAACATTTCTTGTACTGCACAATCTGTAAAGAGGATTTGCTTACCAGAGCTCGCCATGGCCACATAGATTCTCCATAGTCATAGGTGATTTCACTCTCTGCTTGGATATTGTCAATAGCAAACAAGCAGAGATGAGGTTTATCCTGGACTGCCAGCTGTTTCATCTTGCAGTTTGGGTACTTGTGGTCATCATTAACCAGCCGGCCAAGTGAGTCGTCTTCACGGGAGGCATCAATGCTAAAAGTGAAGAAAAGAACATATGATTTGTTCACTAAAAACATAATGTTGTGAAGAACAACTGATATTGTATATGCCTTTACTTACCACCATGTGTTATTTTTCCATCTAAAATCAAATAGGAAAGCAGTTTGCTTTTCTGTGTACTTTTTCTGCCGCTTGTCCCGTTCATGTTCTGAGATAAGCTCCCCACGGTACTCGACTACAAAGGATCCCTTTTCAATTGGTTCAGAGGCAAATACACCATGTCCTAATACAAGATGTTCAATAAGTAGTGTTAAGTAATACAATCCAAATCAGGTTTACTGCAGCTGATCAGCAACTGACAAAACATGCAGAACAAACAATCATAAAATGTTTTAATTGTGAGGGGATTTTCTAGATGCTTACGTTCATGGATGCAACAAATGAGTTGAAACAATAAATAAATACCAATAATAAAAAAAATTAAAATATTTTGCAATAAATTTCAAATACATGGAAATGTAAAACAGTTTTAATCTAGATAGATAACTTTATTGATCAATTTGGGAGGTTCCCTCAGGGAAACTGAAACAATTGTTATATATTACTAAATATTATAATAAACATTAGTTGCAGCTCCGGTAATATTCATGCAGCAGCCATAAGGAACAACATATAACATACCTTTATAGTCATTGATCCATTGGGCCTTTAAACAAGGCTTGTCACTTCCAGATAAAATAAAGTGAGCAGCCTCTGCTTCAGAAAGGTGTCAATGGGAAGAAGTCTTTCAACCAGATGTCATCAAAAACACTGCTCCTGCGTAAGTACCCATTTTAAAATGTTCACACATTTTTCTGGGTCAACAATATGTGCTCCACTACGACAGCTCTTGCCACCAGCCAGTTCATACCTTTGCTATTCACACACTGAGGTATTGTTTCCAGCGTTTCACTTTTTATAAACGCTACACAGCGTCAATATAAACTTGTAGAGCTACTTCTTAAGCTGGTCTAATAAAAGAAGAAATATTATTCAGAGCTTTAGTTGACAAATTATTTTCTGCTTACAGAAAGATATTAGTGGAGATTGTGTCCTGTTACAATAGTAAATTGTGGTGATGGATGATGATTAAAATTTAAATCTGCTTTTGTGATTGCAGATTCTATGAGAAAAAAATCCCATCTCCCGCAGTTCCACTGACCACGACATATGTAAACATGCTATCCGCTGGTTTAACTTGGCAGCAGATCGAGACTGCTCAAGGCGACGTAGTTGTATACAAGAAGTTCAACCCGCTGACCAGCATTCATCTTTATAACATAAATTACAGTCTGGTAACAGTTTTTTAATACTGTTTGCATTACTATTATTGTACTTTATACTTTGCTTGCACATGCAACAAACCATTTTTTATACAGTTTGTATTACTATTATACTTTATACTTGCACATGTAACACAGTTTTTATACAGTTTGTATTACTATTATACTTTATGTATTACTATTATACTTTATACTTGCACATGTAACAGTTTTTTATACAGTTTGTATTACTATTATACTTTATACTTGCACATGTAACACATTTTTTTAATACAGTTTGTATTACTATTATATATCTATATATATATCTATATATATATATATATATAATATATATATATATATATATATATATATACTTCCTGTTAAAAGGGAGTTTTTCCTTCCCACTGTCGCCAAAGTGCTTGCTCATAGGTGGTCACATGATTGGGTTTTTCTCGGTACCTATTAAGCGCCTTGAGGTGACTTTGTTTGTTATTTGGCGCTATATAAATAAAATTGAATTGAAATTGAATTGTACTGCTGCATACTGTGATATTTACAGTTGCTTAGTTAATTAAACGACTTAATTACTCACTTTTATCTACTAATTGAATTACTAAATGAAGCTGGAATTGTGCATTCTGCAGTTTTAATAGTGTATTAGTTTTTAAAGAAACAATATGCATTTTATACTATATTGTAAAAAGTATAAGGTAAGTTGAATTTAAAATATAATTAATGAAGAGTTGACTTTTTTCATCAATTTATTTATTAACCTTTATTTAACCAGGAAGATCCCATTGAGGTTAAAAACCTCTTTTTCAAGGGAGACCTGGCCAAGATAGGCAGCAGCAGGTGTCTCACATTTACAGAGGTTACTCAAACACATGCAACAATAAGTGAAAGACTACAAATAAAATAAAATTCAATTAAAAAAATAAAAAGTCAGTTAAAATGACAGTCAATCTAATTGAAACAGTTTCATGTTATGGACTTGGCCTCAGTGATTCGTAGTTTAGATTTAAAAGCACTAAATGCAATGAATTCAGTCATCTTCCAGTCCTTCTGCAGTTTGTTCCAAGCCGAGGGTGCTAAATGCACAAAAGCTTTTTTACCAAGTTCAGTTCGGGCAAATAGAGCAGAAAGCAACAAGTAACCATGCGCACAAAGAGAATACCGACCAGCATGTTTCATTGCAAGCAGGGAACATATATAAGAAGGCAGCAACCCAAGTATTGCCTTATATATAAAACTGTATAAATGAGAGTTCCTCCGACTTAACAAAGCAGGTCATCCTACCTGAGAGTATAACTCACAATGGCGAGTCTGAAATTTATGGTTAGTGATGAACCTCAGAGAAGCATGATACACAGAATCAAACATTCAAAGACATTGAGCAGAAGCATTCATATATAGAATATCACCATAATCCAGCACAGGCAAGAATGTTGCAGCATCAAGCAGCTTCTTTGTATTAAAAGAGAAACACAACTTATTTTGAAAGTAAAATCTCAGTTTTAACTTCAGGTTTTTCCACAAGATTCTCTACATGTGGTTTGAAGGTGAGCAAGTCGAAGGTGAGCAAGTCATCAATTAAGATTCCCAGATATTTATATATGTGAACCATCTCTTGTTTTATTACCTTCAAGAGTGGTTACTGATGGGATTATTTGGGCCAAATTCCTTGATTTAGAAAACAGCATGAGCTTTGTTTTGTCTGCATTGAGAACAAGTTTAAGCAGAAGTAATGAGTGCTGGACAGCAAAAAAGGCTTTCTGCAAGGAGTCAATGGCTTGGACAAGAGTTGAACCACAGCTGTAAATAACAGTATCATCAGCATAGAAGTGCAAGTTTGCATCTGGCACATTTAGACTAAGATTGTTTACGTAAATGATAAATAGAAGTGGTTGATAATATCCACCTTGGGTAACAAGCTGCGCACATTAAGATGAACTATCTTCAGCTCAATTTAGGATTTAAATTCAGATGGTGTCTGACTACATTGCAGCTCAGGGCCTGGGTTAGGTTGTACATTACCAGATTAGAGCAGTAGTAAGACGATCAGAAGTCTATGAATTGTAACATTACTTATTGATTTTGACTTGTGAAATGTTGAAACAAAGCAGGATTTTTCATAATTAATTTTGTAATTTTACAAAGCAAGAAGGTTTTGAAGATGAGGTAAATCTTTCTGTAGTTCAAATGATAAATTAATGTCCTGTTCCAAATACATTGGAAATTGTACAGGATGTATAGCAGCAGTGACGCATGTAGATCTGCCATGTCTCGCAGAGTGGGGACACTGTTTAATGTTCTCATCTTAGAGAATTTGAGTGTCCAAAGGCCCCCCGCAGCCAATAAGCAAAGTAAAGTTATTTAAAAAAGCCATTATCCAAAACACACAATGATTGTTGATGCTGAATTAAATAGGCTGCACAAACCTAGGATGGCAAGTAAGGCTCCAGCCAGAAGATCGGGTTCTGGTGGCTTGCTAGCAGTGGGCTTCTGCTAGCACATTTACCAATGTGGTGTAGACGGCTTCAATCAACAGCACAGTACCCGATGTATTGAAGTTGAGCTTTTCTAGAAACATAGGCCTTGGTGTGGTGCTGATGTCTTCCACTAGCAACACAGATGCAGTTGGTTTAGCCGGCAGCAAAGGCCCTGGTGTGGTGCCTATGGATCCAGCCAGCAGTACAGGCCCTGATGTGATGCCTATGGGTCCAGCCAGCAGCACAGGCCCTGGTGTGGTGCCTATGGGTCCAGCCGGCAGTACAGGCCCTTATGTGATGCCTATGGGTCCAGCCAGCAGTGCAGGCCCTGGTGAGGCTCAGTTGGTTTATGCTAGCAGCACAGGCCCTGGTCTGGTGCAGACAACTTCTGGTAGTAGCAGAGGTCCACAAAAAACCATTTCCCAATGAATTTACAGAATACTTTAGAATACTCTCTGGGAATTCAAAGAGTCGAGACTGAGCTTGATGATCATACTGAATCACATGACAGCGGCAGGAATCTCTAAGTTCAACTGTAGATTGCAGATGCAATTATATTAATGCAGATTAATATAAACTCTTCAAGGGTCAAAATCTGCACACACATCATTCTGCATAGTGAAGATCAGACAATTTGTGCATTGATCTTGAGAAGTAAGACTCATTAAATAATAGTAATATAATTAGACAAATATTGAAACTTTATATTTTGAGACATTTTGTCAACAACAACAAAAAAAAACCAAGATGTGCAGGCACTGATAACTGAATCTAAAGTGAATCTAAACTGAATCTTCATTTTTGTCAAGATTTGCTTGATTTAATTGTTGTTACCCTTGCTTAAGCCCCAAGAAGGGTATAACCTGGGTCAAATGTGTTATTGTGTCTGACACACCTACAAAATGAGGACTCGCAGAGTGACGTCACTGAAAGTGTGTTTAAAGTGTGTTTTGTTCCAAAACTGGCCAGTAGGCGGCGAAACTGAAAGTGAGCAAAAACGCTAAACACACTTAAACACACTTTTTCAAAAAATTGTGATATTTCAGGACATTCGAGATTTTTGGTTTGGGAGCATGTTGGGGCCCTCTAGAACACTTTAGAAGGCTCAGAAAAATGAGGACCTCAAAAATGTCCTCATTTTTCCGAGCGTCCTCATTTTGTGAGTGTGTTATCATAAAATTGTCCTCAGATGTCATGAAAACAAGTGCACACACACACACACACACACACACACACACACACACACACACACACACACACACACACACACACACACACACACAGGCCCTTGCGTGCAAACCCCGGTCAGGCCTGCAGTGTACACATCAGAGACATGATGTTCTTTCACAGAACTGAGGTTGTTCATTACTAAATGACTTTTACAGGAATATTGTTATTATACTATTCAACAGGTTGATCATAATAATGTGTATTAAACCCACAACCTAGCACTGAGGACAGAGGGACCTTATTTAAATTAGTACTTAATGGAAACGATACATAATGATACATAAGAGCCATGTCATACATTCAGCCTAGGAATAGTAGCATTGTGCACTATTAAAAATATACATATCAATTGCTCGAATCCCATTGTTGCAAAGTAAAACTCTAATAAAACTCTAGTCTGACATAAACAGAGAAGTCTTAGTGTATGTACTACAAATACAGCATTAGGATTTCGAGTGGACCGTGCACCTTGTGAACCATCAGAGGCTTATGACGCAATATATCTTCCAGTTGCTATTAGACAAGTTATCACAATTACGTTGATTAATAAATCCAGTGTTGTAGCGACTGCAGCCAGCGCCGTCGCGCAACTCGTGTCGGTGTTATCTCTCGATACTTTCATTCGTATCCGAGCGTATGCAGAATCTACGGATCTGGTGAAGTTGCTTGTCACTAGCTTGCACACATTTGATATGGCACTTTGTGCGTGACTCACACAACCTGCAGTGGCGACCGTCGCGTCAGTGCAAAGTTTTTCCGATATATCGCTCGCAACATCGTTTGTCATTTGCTGTACACTGCGCACACTGGCCGCGAGGTCGCGGAGAGGGTCTTCGTTACGAGTTGTGTAATATCCGCTGACTTGCCGATTCAATTCTGGTGGAGCTGACCCAAACGAGAACGCTTTGAAGGCGCATGTCGTGGTAACTCTGGTAGCACCGTGGTTGACGAGGACGATCATCTTTAGCAATAGTTCATCTCGAAGCCCCGAGGAGCGTCTTGCCACATGTCAACTATGGGTATGACTGAGGGCCTCCAGGAGAGAAGCCCAAGCAAGAAACGCCCGAGGAGCGTCTTGACACATGTCAACACTGGGTCTGACTGATCGCCTCCCCAGGAGAGAGGCCCAAGAAAGACGCGCCCTGAGGAGCGTCTTGCCACATGTCAACACTGGGTCTGACTGAGTGCCTCCATGAGAGAAGCCCCAGCAAGACGCGCCCCGAGGAGCGTCTTGCCACATGTCAGCACTCGGTCTGACTGAGCGCCTCCAGGAGAGAGGCCCAAGCAAGACGCGCCCCAAGGAGCGTCTTGCCACATGTCAACACTGGGTCTGACTGAGCGCCTCCAGGAGAGAGGCCCAAGCAAGACGCGCCTGGAGGAGAGTTTTGCCACATGTCAACACTGGGTCTGACAGAGGGCCTCAAGGGGAGAGGCCCAAGCAAGATGCGCCCCGAGGAGCATCTTGCCACATGTCAACAATGGGTCTGACTGAGGGCCT